GGCACACAGAACAGCACGCGGGGTTGTGACTCCTGCCTTCATCCCAGGTACATGTGTGACAACGAATGGCAAAGTGCAGCTACTGTGACAGCACAGCCTGGGAAGGGGAGATGGCCAACACTGGCTGCTGCACTACTGGTGTGATTTTGGCTTCTGTAAAAAGGTTTATCCATGCTCATTAAGCTACTTTGCATGCTCATTAAGCTAGTTGATCCAACACTGTGTCATTGTTGTCACACCGCTACAGATGAGTTTATCCTTTTGATTCCTAATCAAAAGAGATTAGTTTTTACAAAGCCATCAAACTCAAAACCTTTTCTTTTCTCCTTGCTTAGTTCCTACTCATTCCCTCTCTGAATCCCCAGCAATAGCTGGCTTGAACTCACTTCCAGGATGCCTTCCTCATCCATCTGACTACTAAGCTAGTCCGAATCCTCTGCTGAAAATATCAAGCAGTGCTCTGAACGTGTTCCAGCAGACTCCTGTTTATACCCATCCCAGGACTAAAGGCACTACCTCTTCTCCTCCCTGTCACAACAGTGCACTGGGAATATCGTCTGCTCCTTGCCCTGCAATGGCCCCATAGCCAGAGAGATGTCCAGCTGGCAAGCAGATGCTGGAAACAAACCTCAGATCCCAAAATACAACAGATAGTGTTGACCATGCAATAGCTGTGATTGTATACTGGAAATGGGTGAGTAGGGATGGCTGAGCTTCCTATTTACTTCTCACCTACTCAGTAGCCTGAATGACCTCCTTGGGGTTTTCAGCCTGGGTGGTTGGAAACAAGGATGGGGACAGAAAGCAGCCCTTAGCAGGTGCACAGCACGGACCCTGGGGAAGCTCAGAGTCTTCTGTGCCTGCTGCCACTTCCCCTATCTCCCACATCCAACAAAGCCTCTTCCAAGTTCTGCTGGGAAAGCACAAGGAGCCTCTGCAGCCCTTGCACAACCCAGGCAGATCCCAACAGAACTCCAGGCCTGCCACATCTCCTTACTCACCTGTGTGCCCAAAGCCTTTCCCTGGCAGCTGCTGCCATTCTGCCCCCTCCCTTCTGGCACACGGCGCTGTGCCGCGCTGCTGCCCCAGAGCTGATGGGAAGCTGCTGCACAGGAGGCACAGGGGTGGGAGAGGTGATTTTCAGAACTGCAAGCTGATGCACGTCTGGGCAGCACAACAAGTAGTAATATTTTAAGTTATTTACTAAAATTGACTTTCTGTAAAAACACTGCGCTAGGCAACTGGCTTCTGATTACCAATAGGTCACTGCCATTGTCTGGTTGAAAATGTGTGTGCTTGTAGTTTCTGGAGATTGAATGCTGCAGACAGGAGTGAATGTTATGTTAGGAGTGAATGTCTCAGTGCCAGAGCTTTTTTGTGTAAAGATCTTCGTACTTGGAAAGGCCCTGTTTGGCCTATAGGGTGAAGCATCAGCACATATCCCAGGGCAAGGGACCGCAGTGCTGGCAGGCAGCCCCTGTCCCAGGCTAACCTGTGTGTGTCCCCAGGGCCTGCAGGCAGCTCTGCCCTTCTGCACGTGGCTCAGGCCAGAGGACATCTGACATGCAGAAGAGCGGCTGGCCAGATCAAGGTTTAATTAAGGAAAGATATGTGTGCTATTTGTCTGTCCCAAACACCAAATTTTCCACTTGAGTTTGCATCTCCTCAGGCGTTTCTAGCTGCCTGCACTGCTGCCCTGCGCTCACTCAGTCCTGAGGCAGTGCTGGGAGGCACCGTGCAGCTTCCCTGGGGCAGCCTCACAGGTCACAGCAATCCCAAAAACAGGGAGACTGCACAGCCTGTGCTCACACACAGCACCCCCCGACAGCACGAACACTGCCTCCGCTGGGAGCTCAAGGACCAACATCTCCGGAGGAGAACTGCAGCAAGGCCAGCAGTGTGTGCTGCTCACCAGAGCAGCTGCCTGGCCGTAATCTTTTGTTTAGAGATTTGAACTCTGGCAACAGGAGCAGCTTCTTTGGTTCAGAATACCCATTCTCTTCTGTCTGACTTCCAAAGCGATACAAATCGGACTGAGGTGAGAGAGCTGCAAATGAGAAAAAGCACATCCTCAGGAGCAGATGAAGAGATTTGATTCGCTTAAACCATGCCGCAAACTGGAAAATACTTGGCCATGCAGACAGGTCTTGAGGGGCTGGTGCTATTGTTCCATGAATAACTAATTGGGATGTTTAATCAGAAGCAAAGGCCGGCTTTGCTTTCAGCACACCGGAGCAGTGTGCCCTTCACATGCATGATGGCTGTGCCTACTGAAACGCATCTGTCTGTAATGAACTCCTAAGGAGTGAAGTATGAAATGTATGAAATGGCACGATTATTTGGTGAGATCAGGACTCAGGCTCTTCTCTGTCTTCTGATCTTGTTGTCACTTCTGTCCTTCAAAACCGATGCTATTTTATATTCCACATTAGAGAGCTATGCAATGATGGTGTTAATAACTGGAACAGCCATTTTCTCTCTCGTTCTTAAGGCATGAAACAAAAATTTTGAGTCATTTGTCGTCTTTTCAGCAGTAGTAATCAGTGACTCATCTGGAGATGCTGCTAATCTACCCTTTCCAAACAAACTCAACTTCCAGAGCTTTGAATTACTGATTAAATGGAGGAGACCAAAGAATATCCCACACTGGAAGGGACCCACAGGGATCACAGAGTCCAACCCCCAGCCTCACACAGCACCACCCAAGCCCTCTGTCAGAGCTGAGCTCAGGGCTGTGCCCGCTGTCCTGGGAGCTGTGCCATAACCGCCTCCCTCTGGGGCAGAGCCTTTCTTCACCCCTCCGGACCCTCAGGGCTCCACCCAGCCCCCTCTGTCCTTACAGCTGGCTACAACTCTCCTGCCTGGTTTAGGCATGTAGATGCAACAAACGCCTCCCATCTCATCCTCCCTTCCTCCCCTGCCTTCCCCCGACCCCCAGCACTCTCCCAGCTCAGCACAGCCAGGCTGCATCACCACTTCTTCCCAGGCCCTGGCAGCACCACGGCCCAACCAGCATCACCATGGGGCTCAGCTGCTGCCATAGGGAAATGCTGCTAAGAAATGAACAACAGCGTGATACAAAAGCTTTGCTAAAAATGTCTTATTCATCCTGCATTTGTTTGGATTCCAGCAACGCTAGACCTCTCCTTCAGTGTCTGTTACCCTTTTTGTCCTCTACATGCAATTAGAAATGTGAAAAGGACTAATTTCTCTCCCTCTGTAAGGCCTTTTCTGTTATTTGTGCTGTGTATCTTAGGCAGGAAATAAGCAAAAGGGACTCTCACAGGAACAGCTGCTGTGATGACAGAAGGAGGGACCAAAAAGACCTTGGAATATTTTTGAGGCTTAATTATTTAAAGCTGCAAAGTAGGTTAGCAATCAGGGCTTGAATGGCACGAGACGACACAACGCATTTTTAAACAGCTCCTTTAAACAGCTGAGAAAAGTCCTGCAAGTACCACCATAGCTCCACACACCTGTGTTTGGTGCCCCTCCGTGTGCCCACAGGCAGAAGGGGCTCTCTGACAGCCCCACGCTGTGCAGGTCTGCATGGAGATGGGGATGGGACGGAATGAGCATGCACTGAAGGTTAACCCTGCCGTAACTCCGCTGCCCTCAGGGGTCTGCACTCGGGAAGGCTCTGACCTCCAGCACCCATCGTGTCTGAAGATTGATGTTCCAACAGCTGCTCCTCGGAGGGCACAACAGAGCTGAGATGTGAGATGGAGCGGCACAGCCTGCAGGGTGCTCCTATGCCTGAGTTACCTTCACTGCCCACTGAACTGAAAGCATCTGCCAGGAATGCCCGGGGTTATAAAAGATGCCAATTTGCCTTTTCTTTTTCATCTTAAGAGAGAAAAAAAAATGCAAGAAAAAAGATGTAACATAAAAAGTGGGTAATGGAGCAGGAACTGCAATGATGGTACCTTTAATGATCTATTTTCCAGCTGGTATCTAAGAGACCTTTTAAGAGGGTTCTCAGAACACACTGGTGGTGACACAGTGATGGGCCAGCAGTGGAGGACTTATGGGCAGGGTGCCCACGCCTGCCCTCAGCAGGAGGCAGCCTCGTGTGGGGCAGAGGGGCTGCAGGCAATGTGAGAGCTGCTGCCCACAGCGTGCAATGCTGCAACCCCAGGCTCTGCTGCTCCCCCTGTGCTGCAGAGCTCCAGAAAATAAGTAGTGAGCATTGCAGAGGGCTGAAAACGCACAAAGGCAGTTTGTACAATATATGGCAAGAGTCAGACTGCCAGAAACCCAAAGAAGGGAGATAGCAGAGTGCACACAGACACAACTTGTGGAGCAGTGACGTCGGGATGAGATTCCAGCCCCGTCCACAACGCAAGGCCAAGGTCAGAGCTGCTCACACTGCACCCAGCCTCTTCCACAGTGGAATCCAAACAGCCTCACTATCTCTCTTATTGCTACAGGGAGGGTTTCACTGCCGTTTCAGAAAGGCTCTTGGAAGGGAAGTGAGCAGAGTCTACTGAGTTCATAACACATGCAAATATTTCTATACAGTAGGAACTGTAACTCTGCAAAGTAATCATTTGCTTGTCAATTGCTTGCTTTCACCAAACAGCCTCTATTCCACAATGCTCCCAGAAGATCAAAGGCAGTTGTGGATAGGAGAGAAGCCAACCAACCACTCCTCATAACCTCCAAAGTCTCCATTTCAGCCATAAAGGTGCATGTGACCCAGCAGGAGCTGAGGCACAGCTGCCCATCCCTCCCCATGCCCAGGGCTCCTGACTCTCAGTACCAAGGAGTACACTTGCTCTGGCATCAGCACGACTTCTGCAGTTCATTCCTACCTGCTGTAATTAGACCAATTAGTTAAGCAATCCACCGTGCTAACACAACACTACACACACTGGTTGTACTCCCTGTTTTTCTTCACTTTAACATAATAGAACACACACAATTTCCACCCACTTCAATCTTATATCTGACCGCATTTCTCATGCTAAAATTACTCCCACAGCTGCAGCAGGACAACCCACCAGTCTGAAATGAAGAGTTGCAGCACTGTTCTGTGTATGGCTGTGCTTTGATGCCTGGAAAAATCTCACTGTTGCATCACCTCGCCCCTTGAGCAGCACAGTGTTGCTGCTTACACCGACTCGGATCCAGCTGGGCTGTGCTGAACAGACCACGACGTGCTGGCTCTCCTCCCTGGGATGGTGCTGGCAGCTTTGCATCCTGCAGCATCACATGGAAAGGTCCGTCACGCAAAAGTGCCTGTGGGGACATCGAGCCCCAAACTGAGGACACACACAGAGACCTGGATGACGCAGGACCTTTCTCAGCCATTTCAACTGATGTCATACCTGAGCTATGGTGATGGTATTCGCATTAACTTCTGCCTTTACAATGGTATCTTCTGTATGTGACATTTTCAAGAAAGATATTAAAAATAGCGGCTTCCTGTCAGTGGAACTGCTCAGCTCTTCCTGGACGAGAGCCTGTGACTCACAGCACAGCACCAGCACTGCTAAGTGCACAAGGGTACATTTCAGGCACGAGCCTTGCGTTGCTGTTCACGTTCCTTTCCTGCTGCTGCTCCGGCCCCAAAGCATCGCCGCCCTGCGCTGCCTCAGATAGCAAAGCTGCCTGGAAACTTTAAAGCATCCCATCTGTTAAAATGCTTTAAAAACATGCAGCCTTGTACACTGAAATTATTTCCCTTTTTCTAACTAGCCTTGACTGTGTTTCTAAACTGCCTGTGCTTTGTTTTCTTGTATAATTGCCGGAGGCGGAGAGCTGAGATAGCATCTCTGAGGCAGCAGAGGATGGTGCAGTGTGAACAACAGGGACGTGGCCAGGTGAACACATGTGGGAATTTGATGTTCGTGGCAGTCAAATAAATGCTAGCGGGTGACTGCGGGTGTGTGGTGCCCCTGGAGGGGGGACAGGGATGAGCACACCCCCAGGACAGGATCCCTTGGCTGAGCACTCCTGCAGCATGGCACTGCTGCTACAGGTGGCAGCACAGTGGGGACCAGGGGAAAGCACACTGCAAAGCCCAGCTGCACAACTCCGCTCGCAAATCACATAAAATACTCTTTTTAAAACGCTTTTTCAACAGCCCAACCAAACCATCCCATGCCTATTGATGGAGATGGGCGGGAGAGTTCACTCCATCACACAGACGGCTGGGAAATCTGATGAAGCAGAAAATGGGATGGCAGGTTACTAAGGGCTCCATAAAGCCTGAGCAGAGCCCCTCTGTGGTCCCTGCTTTGCACGGGTGCCTCTGCAGGCAGCAGATGGCTGTTTGGGCATAACACTGAAATTGCTGCTGCTTCAAAGCCTAAGCTCTATTCTGTGAGCTTGAGGAGCAGCTTCAACAAGTCAGCTCAGAGAAAGAGAAGATGAAACACATGATTTCACCAAATGGAGGAAGCACCTGAGCACCTCCTGAAAGAGACAGGCATAAAGCCATTGCAAAGTTAAAGGAGGCTCACCTGATTAACGAGGGACAAAAAGTGAAAAAGGAGCAGTGTGATGAGGCCACAGCCCTGAGCAGCCCAGAGGTCAGAGCTGTGCAGTGTCACCCTGGTGACTGCAGTCACCTGGAATCCACAAGGGCAGGACCTCGGTGTCCTTGGTTGCACAGAACCCTTCTTATTTCCCAAGGAAACAGCCATCCTGTACAGCATTTTTGAGTTAGTTTAACACGCACCAATCTTCAGTCCTCAGTCCATCTCATCTGCTGGCAAAATGTGAGTACAGGGAAAATCACAAAGTACACCTCATGCTCAGAGGCACCACCCTCTGGTCAGAGGGCCTGAACCCCCCGGGAACCACCTGCACTGTTACTTCTCTTTGCAAGCTGCTGCAGGCACATCACCTGGCTTTGCTCTGGGGATGCTCAGCCTTCCCCCTCCAGGACAGAGATGCTCATTAAGCACCGCAGCAGCAGTGAGAGGACGGGGCTGCTGGCCTCAGGCACACCCGACAAACACAGCATGGGATGCAGCAAAGTTCAGGACCCACACTGCCCTTCCACATGCCCTCCGTGTGCAGATTCCTGTTTGTTTCTGTACTACACGGATCTTAATGCCAGCACCACATCTATAATTCCGACAAGGAATCTCTGCTCACAGCACTCCACAGAACAATACTCGTGAGCCACGTCTGCTCATACAGCCACAAGCAAACCAGCGCCCATCTCCAGCGCTAGCACAAAATGCAAACAGCACTGTCAGCAGCAGAACGCTCACTCTGTGGGTGTGAGAGCACATTTGCTCCCACCAAACCCGCTGCTCACAGCCAGACCTGCCCACCCGATTCCCAGGGAGGATCGAGGAATCCTCTCCAACAGATTCATACAGGCACAGAAAACTGCAGGCTGCTGCGGGGGCAAACTGTGAATGTGTGGGGTGAGGTCAGGACAACATGCATATCTTCAGCATTATGATAAGGACAGCAGCACACTGCTCCAGCAGTGGGGAGATGGGCAGAGCGGGGAGCAGTGTCAGCAGGGCAGGGATGGCACATGGGCCGTGCTGGGGGCTGGAAGTTGCATCCCAGCATCACATCCAGCCCTGCAGCACACCCAGCGGGCGATCCAGTGCAGGAGTGCACCTAAGTTCACATCTTCATTTTGCTTCGAGTGTTTTCCTTTTCAATTGGTCATATTGATGTCTCCCCAGAGGATGAGACAGCTGTTTTTGTTAACAAGAGCTTTCTCCTGTTCAGCAAACACGTATCTGTTTTTGAAGCAATGACATGATTTTACATTTTCCATTCTGTAACGCAGAAAGTGGTGTATGGCACATTTTTTATTTATTAGATGCTGGATGAATGTCTAAATTGTGATGAAACGGGTCCTTAAAATCAAAAGAAATGTAAACATTCCTCTAGTAAGTCAGGACTAAATTTACCAAAACAGACTGTTTCTTACATTAATTGTCTGCTGAAGCCAAGAAACATCATTTGTAAGCCATAAACTACACTGTCTCATCTTTGCCTAAGGTTCCATGCTGCTGCTTTATGCCTCATCCTTCACACAGGCTGGAAGAAATCCTCCTGCATTTGCAGTCTGCTCAGCCCCAAGCAGCTCTCGCTCTGGACAACCACCCTGAACTGCCCTGGCTGAATACATCGATTTCTCTCTGGCTATGTGACCACTTCAGGGCTGGTTTAGCAATGCACTGAACTCCTGGCGTTGACTTCTCCTGGGAATCTGGCCTCCTGCAGGCTTCAGCAGCAGCTGTGCACCACCTACCATTATACTGGAGTCCAACAGATCCTAGTAAACATAGGCTTCCCCATTCTTTTACAATGAGAAAGTAGGAATCAGGCTCCACACCTTGCCCTGCTTGCAACACGGGCATAGCAGCACTCCTCTTACTGCTCACTTAATGGGAGACAAACCGCCCTATCAGCTCTGCAGCTGAAGACAACATCTGGAGGAACTTTGTTGTTATATCCCAACCTCGGGTTATTGCCCCATGGAAGGGCTTGGTGTGCACAGGGCTGAGCCCTCCACAGCACACCCGGACCTCAGATCCCAAATGCAGCTCCTGCAGCAGGAGGGGAGGGCTCCGTGCCTGCCTGCTGGGGATTGGCTTCCAGGCTTGGATATTTAAAACATGTAATATTTTTCCCAGTTTATTTGGCAGTGAAATTATTGCTACAGAAACTGGCATTGCTAATTCTGCATTTTTACTCCTTTATTGGATGAAGCTTGAGTTGAAAATGGGCAGATAACAGCAAAATCTGGCACGGAAAATCCAGAAGACAAACAGCAGTGAGAGCAGAAGCAGTCGGCCCAGGTGGCCCAGCGCTGCCCATGGGTGGCCCCACAAAGAGCTGGGATGTGGGGAGGGGGTCCTGGGCACACCGCTCCCCCCGGGCACTGCAGTGCTTGGGGCAGCCCCAGGAACACCAGCACTCAGAGCGGTCACACTCCTGTTATTTTTAGGTGTGTTTATGCTGTGACCAAACCCCTGCACAGATACAGTTGCTGGGGCAGAGGGGGGGGTTGGGATATTTTATCTGGAGGGCAGTGTAAGCTGTATTTGCAGAAATTCACTCCACTGGCAAACCATTTGTTTTCTAGAGAAGACCTCGAAACTTATGCAACCGCACCATCTCCCCGTGTCCTCAGAGCAGATCACGCTCTGAGTCATCTCAAAGAACAAGCGTGCAAGTTATAATGAAGGCTTCGTGTTTCTGAGGCCTTCTTGGCACCCTCAGCCTCGCACTCAGCTTCCAGCACAGCACCCAGAATCTCATCGCCCTGCACCCACACCAGCAGCTTGCCACCAGCTGTGCTCTGCGGCCCCACACCACACTGCAGCACACATGTTGCTGCAGATACCCGAGGGCCCTGCCACTATCCTGCACCTTGGAGCACTCAGGCCTGGGGTGAACGTGCACAGTGCTTGAAAGGACCCTGCAGGCATGCTCAGCAGTAACCTTTGTGTGCAGCAGCCTCATAAGAACAAGGGAAGCCTGGGCTGCTGGTGGCACACTGCATCCAGGGATGCATGCCATGCAGCACTATGCCTGTTGCATATGGGGGCTGCAGGCATTTCCTGGAAAATGCAGTTCCCAGCACAGCCCCAGCAGAACACGGCTCCGGCCAGAGCCTCTCCTGGCACCGTGGGAGCAGCGCCCACCTGCACAGCTGCTGTGCGCACTGCAGCCTTGCGAGGCCACGGCTCTCCTGGCCCCGCTACACAGAGCAGTGCTGTGCCTGCTTTGCTCATGCCTTGGCCCTGCCTCGTGCTCCCCCAGCAGTGAAGCAGCCAGGAGCTGTTTTCTTCCAAGCCCGCCTGCAAACCAAAACACAGATGTCAAGTCTAATTTTAGGCACCCAGCCTTGAGAGCACTCGCTCAGCTCTCTCCTAGACCAGCGGCAGGATCTCAGGACAAATCCACCATGGGTGTTGGGTGAGGGACGGGGCCAGTCTGCCCCTGTGCTGTGCAGTGGAGAGCAGGTGAGTGCAGGACTGCAGGGCAGGGGGTCTGAGGGGACACACAACAGCAGCAGCAAAGTGAGGAGGTGGAAAACAAGGCACTATATCAATGGGAAAGGGCAGGAGCACACAGACACACAAGCCACACACCTGGAACATGCGTTGCACACATACATAGAAAATCCAAAAAGAAATACAGATCACCTGAAAAGCATTTGCATGTGGGATTGCTCCAGTTAACGCGCCTCGCTGCCGCCCGGATTAAAGCAATTAACTGACTGGCAGACAAATTACTTTTCTCCTTTTCTATCCTTCTAAAAAGGGAAAGGACTGCACAGAGCCCATCCAAGCCTTCCCAGCAGCGCCTGCACTGCGCAGCCCCAACACGTGGGGGGGAGGAAGGAACCTTCACTGGGAATGTCTGATACAAAGGCTCGTTCCTGTACTGTTCTCATCATGCTAGCCAAGGTCAGAGAGCTTTTTCTGCCATTTCTAACCAGCAAAGAAGCTAATGCAGCTAAAATATGTAACAGGAGTCAAACTGCTAAGGAGCCAGGGAGAAAACACCAGAAACCAGCAAAGTACCAGCTCAGAAAGGCAACAGTCAGACAGCAAAGCTCCATACAAAGCGCCCTATCCCATGGGCTGAACATGTCCTGCTGCACCCGGAAAGCGCTTTTGGGAAAGCCGCCATCTGCCCACCCACACCTCTGGGTATCGTGAGTGCTTCCTCCAGGAATGGGGCAGCCGTGGGCAGGTGGCACAGCAGAGGTGCCATTGAATTTACTCACAGACTCCCATGTACCACTGGCAGCCCCCAGTGCCCCAAAGCATGCCTGAGCTGAGCACAAAAGCATCAGGAGAGACCCATCCCCTCTGGCTCCAGGGCTGTGCAGCAGTGTGATGCATTCTGCCTTTGACTGCACAGAAAATCAGTTGGCACTGCACAGAGCTGCTTCAGGGACACCTGAGATGCCTGGGGGAGCCCAGGAGCCACCCCAGCAGGATGGTGCTGGCACAGAAAGGGCACCTACTATACACAAACACCTGTGGAGCTGTGGTTAGGCTTTGAGATGGTTTCCATTACTGCAAAACCACACCGTGTTCTGTTTGCGTCCTGACAAACAGTTTGTACTACTTCTCAGGAGTGTCAGCACCTGACTGTGTTCTCATTCTGTAGACAGGCTCCCCCAGATGCAGAGCCTGGCATTTCCAAGCCCCAACAGAGCATCGATGAACTTGCTCCTCCTGGCTTCTGCTCAGGTCACATTAAAAGTAAAAAAGCAGAGGGAGGAGCACTCTCCTACAGTGCTGTGCCCTGCAAATGCAGTCCTGGTGCCAGGCTACACAGCGCCATGCTCTGCCAGGGTGAATGGCACTAGCAATGGTTGTTGCAGTGCACCCCTGCTCTGCCAGCCTCCCCTCTGGAACTGCCCCGGCCCCACAGCCCAGGAGCCCAGTGCTGGCAGTGCTGGGGCAGGCAGCGCTCACATTCGTACCCAGAGGGACTTCTGCCAAAGGAGCCACTCACCAAAACTGTGCTCTCCCACCCTATTTATTGAGAAGGAATCATAATCTATTTTGCCTGGTTGCCTGGATGCTAAACAAGCTGCTGCTCAGCAGCGCTTCTGGAATTGCCATAGAATTGCCATATACTCCTTGTAGCATTTTTATCACTGTTAGAAGACATATTGAACTTCACTTATAATCACCCCTGAAGAGAAAGCAGGACTGT